TCCCACAGTGAATGGCTAGGCCTGCTACGTTATGAAACCACACACTATTGCAGAGACTTTGATATGACCTGCCGCAATTGAAATGTTGAAAACCAGGGGCACAACTTTCACTGGGGTCATGTCCCCCCCACATTCTGAAATTTTATTTTTGTCTCTTCAGTTTTAGCATTGGAATATGATATCAAACAAGGCAACGGCGTGCTTTAGGACCATGCGGACGTCTCCGAGTGGTCGGGTAGGCTGTTGTTTTTTATCCAGTCAGATAAACACTCCAAAGTTGTGCCCCTGGTAAAAACAATGTTTATGGAGGCAGAGGCACAGAACTCACATCAGTAATTTTGTCAGATAACACTGTTAAATTAAGAATTCATGTTATTGCTAGCAATCAAGAGGAAACTGACTGAACTACTCAAAAACTCCCCAGCTTATGCTCTCCAAATGGACGCACGCTTGTTAGCAAAGCTATGTGGAGATATGGGATCAGAGCATGACAATGTTCTATTTCACATCGATGCTTGGTGGTTATCGAGGGGGAGTGATGGAAAGATTTTTCGCATTGAGCGAGGAACTGTTGTCATTCACAATGGATGTTGTTGGGTTCTATTTTCTAATAATTGGATTGAAGTGATGAATAGCTTAGAAGGAATGCATTAATGAGGAGCATAGGTTTGAACTATACTGATATAAATTGTTTCACATAACAGGCTGTGATTCATGTGAGGAACGTTAGGGGCTAGGATGAGATAAAACTTGTATTTCTTATAGATAAGACTTGTATTTCTCACAGATACGAACACTGCTTCTTTGTGATCTGTGAACCTTCCTTGGACGTAGGAATGGTGTCTAAGGGAGCTGGCTCTTCTCACTATGACAGGTTGTTATGATAAGGACTTATGCCTGGCAACAGCCAGTGCGTCAACGGATAGGCTGAGTAAGTCTAAACCACGCTCAAGTCTCTACTCTAATTGGCCAGCAGAGAGGTGGGAAACTCTCTCTGTCAGAGTATTTGAGCAACAATCTGAAACAATGGATTAGTTCTCTGGGGTGCCCTGCGAGGTATTTCAGAGAGCCCGTATATACGAAACATCATATTTACCATAGAAGGTTTTTGCATTAATTAAAATAACTAGTATATCTTAGAAGTCGTGTTGACCTCTTTTGTTCCTAATACCAGATTTGAATTGACGCAACTTTGACAATGTAACAAATAAATTTAAAAAATGACTTGTTTGACTTTCTGTGTAATGAAAAGAAAACAACAGAAAACAGCATCAGTAAGTGTCCCGCACAAGTGACGACTGCTCACCTCCAATGCTTGGAAGAGCACTTTGGCAACTACTTCCCAATCCATTTGACTGTGATCCTGGCTCAGTTGACATGCTGGTAAGTGAAATCGAACAGCTTATCGAGCTGTCATGTGACCAAATGCTGCAGACAACGAATTCTCGGGTCACTACGGAGGAGTTTTGGTTCCTGACTCAAAGGGAAACCCTGCTGTCTGCCACTGATCATTAAAGCTGAGTTCAAGACACCTGGGAAGTTGGAACTGGGTAGTCGGTACGACATGCATCAAGTACACCCATCTCATTGGTGGTGGTAAGGTAAGAGACATTATGTCAGACTAATTTGCAATTGACTGTCATAGCCCCACAATAAACGTATGTGATGGTGAGTTGAGAAGACAAGCAGAAGCACTGTTAGAATGTTTTTCAATTGACTGCCATAGACCCAAGTAAAAAGGTCAACATTGGTTGTTAATTACATATTTTTTTTCACATGGTTGGGGTTGCGAGAATTTTCTGATATCAAAATGGGGTCGTGGGCAAAAAAAAGTTCGGAGCCCCTGCTTTAGTCTGACTTCAATGCCATTGGCAGTGCTACATTTGAGTGGCAAATGTCAGTCAGTTTCTGAGCAGTGCTGATGGTCATATAAAACCGTTAAACTGTCATGGTGGAAATGCACTCATTTCATGAATACCAGCGCTAGTAGACCACCATGATTCAGCTTTAAGTGTGGTTAAACGGGGATGATGACTTCCTAGAAGTGACAGTGACCCGATCGCAACCCACCACAGTAGTGACAGTAAGAGGACTCCTGACTGTGTGTGTGTGTGTGTGTGTGTGTGTGTCTGCTGTGAGAAATGCACTAAACTCACAAGGGGCCCTCTGACACATTTCCTAAGCAGATAGATGTTTCCTGGAAGCCCTGAGCTAGCTTGCTACTAACCAATACAGGCCCTACTCAACTCTGCCACAGAGATGTATATAGCCACAGGGGACTCCACGCTTTCTGCATCTTCACAGATACCAAATAAAGATCCTCAGAAATAGGTTGCATTTCTCACCCAGGGTTGGGGTCAAATTTATTTCAATTCAGTAATTTCCCAGTAGGGAAATGGAATTGACCCCAACACTGTTCCTCACACAAGAGGAGCTCCTAGCGCAGTATAGTCTGTCTCTGTCTGACCCTTAGTTAACCATTGCCTCGTCACTATTGAAAGCTCTCTGACTCAAAGTCTGAACCTATTGTCTGGTCACACAGTCCAAACACAGAGCTTTGTGACTGGTACTGCTAGTGTTTGGTCAGCTGAGAGGTTGTCCCTGCCAGCTTGCTGCTGCAGCGTCCTTTGTGAGCTTCACAGACAACCCCCGTATTTCCACATACCTTTACAATGATAAGTCGCTCTGGATAAGAGCGTCTGCTAAATGACGTAAATGTAAAAATTTAAATAACATTCACTCAATTCTCGTACGGGACTATGGCCATTGATCTCTATGTACGCTAGACAATGGAAACATCTGATACATGATAGTAACCTCCCATTCAATAAAATAGTCAATCCTTTCCCCGTTGAAATGATTTGATCGCTGGCATGTTTAAAGTGTTTAGCAGGATATGGGACATATTTAATGGTATGGCTTTGACAACTCAAAGTGATAGCACAGATTAAACAAGCACAGAATAGAAAACTATACATTGCTTTGTAGATTGAGAATAAAATAAATGTCAAACACTTAATGCTCACAGTCATGAAGAAAAATCCTAAATCCTTGCCCTCTAGAGACTGTAGGTCATATACATCTTTACCATACTGCTGAACATTGCAGTAACGAAATACACAGGAATGACAGTCAATAGGCCTATACTGTGGATGCCACTGGAAGGACTGACTCCTAATCATCATCCAGCAATGGCAGGTTTAAGCAGACCATCAAGCTGACAAGGCCTTGAGGAGTTCGCCTCAAGGAATACTCTAGTTTCTTATCTTATCCATAAAATGCCCTTATGGCAAACCAATCAAACAATGAAAATCAATGATGGCACTTACTGAAGAACAGTTACCAGATGCTTGAACCATGTGCTCCTAAAACAGCATCTCCCCCAGAAAGTTAAAGTCAGATGTAGACAGGGTCTTACCTCTTGGGCGGAGGCCTCAGTGCAGAGTTGTGCTTACGAGTGGTCACCCTGAGAGAGGCAGATTCTTATGAAGAGGCAATCAAGACAACACACTTCACATTCTGCTTCCTTCCTTCCTTCCTGCTGTCACATTACTGCAGCCTTAGAGAGCTGAGGTGAATGAGGTTTGTTGAAGTGGACTAGTGTGCAATTTCTTCTTCCTTTTGTTTTCTTTGTTGAGGGCCAGTTAAAAGGGGGCTGCTGTGTGTAGCAGTGCCAGACAAATTGTCAAATTACCCAGTGTTGTTGGAACCCCATTGTGAGATGTTTTGTTGTCTTGCTGTGTAAAACGAGGCTTTATGAGTCCCCAAGTTCGTTCCTGCCCATTCTTTGTAGGGAACTGTGACCTGTCAGTATAGCTGTCATTACTGGCAGATGTGTAAGGAAAATTCAATCTTCATTGCCACTTAATTGGAAAATAATGGAGGTATTCAATGTTTTAGGTTAACCCATGACACAGTGCCCTTGAAAAGTAGTTGATATCTTCCAATTCTGAACGTCAGTAGAAGACCAACTAACAGTGGGAGCTTTATCCTAAGACAATGTTGCCCCCCAATGGAATGTTCGTTAACAACATTGGATTTTATGTACTGGATCTGGATGTCTTATTGTGTATGTATTTTTTTTAGGGTCATGCTTATTTTGGTAATACTTTGTTTCTGTCATGACCCAAAGCACATGCACACTGTACAAGCACATGCAAACACACACACACACTAGTCCTGTCAAGAATTTAATCCCAGTTGCCGATATCAAACTTCACAACCTTGCATTTATAGTTACAGAGCAATAATAAAACACTCAATATATAAAAACAACATCAATATTAACAAAACACAACAACTTTAATCAAGTCAAACCTACAATGCCCACGTTTGGCAAGTGCGACCATGAAAATGATGTGTATAGAATGTGGTTTTCCTGTTATTTGTTCTCGTAGACCAAACCCTTTTTTCCTTTGACTAAATTCTCGTTTTGGGCGTACATGCCATGTCTTTCAGCCAACTCCCCAAATCACACCTCTGAGTCAAAAACATTGGCAGTATTTCAACCCTTCTGCAAATGTCCGATACTAACGTTTTCATTCCAGAATGTCTGAGGTTTCCTGAAAATGTCAGTTTTCCTTTCTTCTTTTGTCCTGTTCTCTCTATATTCCCTGGGATGAAGACGATGAAGAAGTTTCTGGGATGAAGTGGTGTTTGGGGTTCAGCAGAGCAGTACATGGATGTAATGATGACTTCTTTGGTACAGTGTTCTGGTAAACCCATTGACAAAGGTATATGATATTAGACTCATAACATGGCTTCTTTGTCACACAAAGTCTTTCTGTATGTCTAATGTTGCTGGTTCTGGACTTAAACAGAACTCTTTATTCCTTCCCTTTATGCACTTAAATATAAGTATTACACCTTTTTGTTTTCATGGGATCCAGAACTACACGTTTAGCCCTACATTTTTTACCTTCATATTTGTGTAATAAGGCCTAATAACAAAACGATAGCCCAATAGTACCAAAACCCTCCGGAGGTGACTTCCTGGGATCTTAGAAAGTCTGTAAAAATGTCTTGAGCTGTAGCGTTTCCTCCACTGATATCCTGTCGTGGTAGAAGCTGAGTCCAGTCAGGAGCTCTATGTCTCGGACCCGGGCAGCGTGGAACTGGGCCCACTCCTGAACCCACTGGAAGTCTGAGCCATTCTGAGGAGACAGGGAGAGGGAGGGAGAGGAGGGCTTAGTCACTGTAACAATATTCATAGATTAGAAGCATCTTTACAAACAGCCAAACTAGAGAGGCTCTCATTATCTCCAGACCTAGGTCAGATACTTTCAAATACCTTAACATAATTGAGGTGCGCTTGATTAAGCTCGGAATTGGCACTTCTGGGTCTATATCATTGGTTGCATTGTACAGGGTAAACTAAATCAAGTGCTGCTCAAGTATTTAAAAGTATTTTACATTTGTAACCGTTGTGAAATGGCTAGCTAGTTAGCGGTGCACACTAGTAGCATTTCAATCGGTGAGTCATTCACTCGGAGACCGTGAAGTAGTCGTTTCCCTTGCTCTGCAAGGACCGCAGCTTTTTTGCCGCTATAGGTCAAATCAAATCAAATTTTATTGGTCACATGCGCCGAATACAACAGGTGCAGACATTACAGTGAAATGCTTACTTACAGCCCTTAACCAACAGTGCATTTATTTTAAACAAAAAAGTAAGAATAAAACAACAACAAAAAAGTGTTGAGAAAAAAAAAAAAAAAAAAAAAAGAGCAGAAGTAAAAAATAAAGTGACAGTAGGGAGGCTATATATACAATAGAATAAAGTGACAGTAGGGAGGCTATATATACAGGGGGGTACCGTTGCATAGTCAATGTGCGGGGGCACCGGCTAGTTGAGGTAATATGTACATGTGGGTAGAGTTAAAGTGACTATGCATAAATAAATACTTAACAGAGTAGCAGCAGCGTAAAAAGGATGGGGTGGGGGGGCAGTGCAAATAGTCCGGGTAGCCATGATTAGCTGTTCAGGAGTCTTATGGCTTGGGGGTAGAAGCTGTTGAGAAGTCTTTTGGACCTAGACTTGGCACTCCGGTACCGCTTGCCGTGCGGTAGCAGAGAGAACAGTCTATGACTAGGGTGACTGGAGTCTTTGACAATTTTGAGGGCCTTCCTCTGATTAGGTAACGATGCTTCATGGGAGGCAATTGTCAATGTGTTCAGAGGGTCCATGGTTCGAGCCCAGGTTGGGACGGGGAGAGGGACGGAAGCAACACTGTTACACACACAGCCTCTATTTGTCCCGGGTCTGATTATCTCAGCCATCCTTTGGTCTGTTCACATGTTAGATTTCCTCAAAAGGATTCCAGGTGACCCTATAGGAAACAATAGGAGCACAGCTAGACAGAGACAGACAGCCAATATGACTCACAGCGCAGGTCTCAGTGTGGTCAGGTCTATGGGGGAGGATGAAGGAGGTGGTCTCCAGACGACCCTGGCAGTCAGTAGGGGAGAAGGATGAGTTCCCACAGCTGGTCAGGATCACATAGAAGTGAGTGGGGATGGGAGCCTCGTGTCTGCAGGATAGAGAGAGATACAATTAGAGAGGCGAATAGGCTATGGTCAATATTGTGTTATAGCGTTCTATCCCCTGCTAAATGAGTCAAATGTATATCTGAAATAAATAAATGTAATAGATACAACAACAGAATCAAAACCCCCCGCCCACAAAAAACAACAACAAAACTCATGGATGATGATGACTACTTACTGTGTGCTAACTGTGGGAGCATCAAAGTGTCCGTCGTAGTGCTGGTCAAAGATAGGTCCACTGACAACGTTGACCCCATTCAGCTGCTGGGAATACTTCACCAGGAGGACATCATGGAAGTACATCCAAACATCTGCAAATATATTATATTTGTGAAGGCACGGATTATAAACCATATCTGACTGTCTAAGTAACTTAGTAATGTATTCAGGGCCTGTATTCACAAAATGTCTTAGAGTAGGAGTGCTGATCTAGAATCAGTTTCCACTTTTAGATCATAATGAATGTGATTAAATGGACAAGGGGATCAGCACTCCTACTCTGAGACGTTTTGTGAATCCAATCTACAGGTTACCATTTTTCGTTTCTTGTTCTGGAGGCAGCTCTGCAGAGTGGTCACTGGAGCCACAAAGTCATAAAATCTGATTTTAAACCTAACCCAAACCTTAACCACACTGGTAACCCTAATGCATAACCCTAACCTTAACCACACTGGTAACCCTAATGCATAACCCTAACCTTAACCACACTGGTAACCCTAATGCATAACCCTAACCTTAACCACACTGGTAACCCTAATGCATAACCCTAACCTTAAATTAAGACCAAAAAGCACATTTTTGTTTTCATGAATATTTACAATATAGCCAATTTTGACTTTGCAGCTGGCCTATCTTAGGGGAAATCGCCCAGTTCTGCCTCCAGGACAAGACTCATTACAATAAAAGTCAATCTGCATACAATCCCAGATCTGTGTCTACCATTTGCCACCAGAGTGCAGTGTCTGTAAAGTTATCGACAGAGTACCTCTGTTCTTGGAGGCCAATGTTTTGGCGAAATAAAGTTAATCATATGATATCATACCTCATAAACCACCTTTTATGATGGATTGATCTCTCTGTGTCCACGGGCATCAACAAAAGTGGCAACACATCCAACTCTCTCACTTTGATCACCATGGAACCCAGAGGGTGGCATCATATTAAACAATCCTAACCACTAACGTGATTAAAACTCTGTGGCTACGTCCCAAATGGCACACGATCCCCTACATGAAACCCTACCTTTGACCAGAGCCCTATGGAAGCGGATCAAAAGTAGTGCACTATAAAGGGAATATAGTGTCATTTTGGACGCAGCCGGTGGTAATCTCAATTTCACGTCAACCAGAAGCACACACTTTTCCTCTATTAAGCAACACATTGATGGTTTATGAGTAATTAACCACAACTACTCAGGCACTCACGTCGGCATTACGTGCCAAGCACTGAGTACAAAATGGAGCTGGATTTTGAACATGACCATCTCCCCTACATTACAATAGCATAGCAAGCATGTGCTTTTGTCGAGCCAGTTACACAGAATGGGAATTAAAGAATACAACACTAAAGATACCTTAGAGGTCACGGTAAAAACCCAGCCCAGTCCCTATCTGGTAATAGGGTTGAAGCTCTCTACAGCACTACTGTCCCCTAGACACAATGTAACAGAGATCCTATGTTTACTGAATCAATGGCTCACTTTCACCACGGTCAGATTACTATCGTAATTCACTGGGAAGCTTTTATGTAGAGACCAATCTGAGATAACTAAATTGGCCTGAAAATAAGCCTCAAACACTGCTCCTAAATCTATGGCTTGTTGGTAAGATTTAAATGTTCACTAGGGAGTCCGAAGATTCAGAAGATTCCTGCTATTAAACTATAACATTAGGTTGTAGGAAATCTTGTAGGATTTCACAGGAAATAAAGACGGAGAAAAACAGGTCCTAGAATGTTCTCAGCCGCTGGAACTTTGGCCTAAAATTATGAATGTTTTGAGGGGAAATTCATACCCAATTGGCCGAGGCTAGTTCAAAATGGAATATAGCTGCAGCCTGAGAATGTTACATGCTTGAAGAGTAAGCTTAAGAGTAAAAGTGACTATTAGAAATAAGATGGCAGCCTTGGATGATTACTCCTGTACATTTATTAGTTATTCACTGTTGTGTTTATGATATTTTTTTCTCCAACAAGTGTTCGATTTAGTAAGCTGATTAAGAATAGATTACTTTGATCTAGACATTCAACATGTACATTTACGTCATTAAGTAGACGCTCTTATCCAGAGCGACTTACAAATTATTATTTTGAACTCAGAACGGTACATTTGAGGATAAATCAGTCTGATTCATGATTTAATGTTTTGAACAATGACAACCTGCATCCAGTATTCAAGAGGATTCCTACAAAGTCTCCAGCAGACCAAGACTACCTTGAGTAAGGAGCTTGAAAATAGACTGATTCAGCAAGGAATACATCAGAAAAAACATTGACTCGACGAAGAGGGCAGCAGAGTAGTAGAAAACGCATTCACTGGATCAAGACTATTACCCACAACGTGAGGAGGAAATTAACTTGCTCACCAAAGTTGGAGAGGAAACAAAGTAATAGCACTCCTAAGGTCATAGTACGCGATGCACGGTCACTGGTTAACAAGTTGGATGAATTTCAAATCAATCCTGCTGTCAGAGAGGGCTGAAATTGCTGCTTTGTCAGAGACATGGTTTGACCCAGATGCACCACCTGAACTCTGGGAAATCGATGGTTTCAACACCTACTCCAAACCAAGACAAAAGGTCAAATGGGATGGGGTGTGGCACTTTATATAAATAAGAGAGGACATTTCTGCTCACAAGCTCCCATTCATAGAGGTACCACCTGAATTGGAGTGTTTGTGTCTAAGGCTTAGAGCTTAACAATTACCAAGGCAAGTTGGATCAATTCAAGTTTCAATGTCACATGCACAAGTACAGTGAAATGCCTTTCTTGCTAGCTCTAACCCCAACAATGCAGTAATCAATAACAATGTAATACTAAAAATAACATTTACATTTAACAAGGTAGAACAAAAACACACAAGATATAAAAATAAGCAATAAGAAGGTGATGAAGTAAGTAACTATATACAGGGTGAGTTCCAGTACCATATTTACAATGTGCAGGGATAATGGATCGATAGTAGATACACTATATATAAAAAGGTATGTGGACACTCAAATTTGTGGATTAGTCTATTTCAGCCACACTCGTTGCTGACAGGTGTATAAAATCGAGCACACAGACATGCAATCTCCATAGACAAACATTGGCAGTAGAATGGCCTTACTGAAGAGCTCAGTGACTTTCAACGTGGCACCGTCATAGGATGCCACCTTTCCAACAAGTCAGTTCGTCACATTTCTGCCCTGCTAGAGCTTCCTCGGTCAACTGTAAGTGCTGTTATTGTGAAGTGGAAACGTCTAGTCGCAACAACGACTCAGCCGTGAAGTGGTAGGCCACACAAGCTCACAGAACGTGGCCGCCAAGTGCTGAAGCGCGTAAAAATCGTCTGTCCTTGATTGCAACACTCACTAACGAGTTCCAAACTGCCTCTGGAAGCAACGTCAACACAATAACTATTTGTCGGTAGCTTCATGAAATGGGTTTCCATGGCCGAGCAGCCGCACACAAGCCTAAGATCACCATGCGCAATGCCAAGCGTTGGTTGGAGTGGTGCAAAATTCGCCGCCATTGGACTCTGGAGCAGTGGAAACGCGTTCTCTGGAGTGATTAATCACGCTTTACCATCTGGCAGTCCGATGGACGAATCTGGGTTTGGCGGATGCTATCTGCACGAATGCATAGTGCCAACTGTAAAGTTTGGTGGAGGAGGAATAATGGTCTGGGGCAAATTTTCATGGTTCGGGCTAGGCCCCTTAGTTCCAGTGAAGGGAGATCTTAATGCTACAGCATACAATGACATTCTAGATGATTCTGTGCTTCCAACTTTGTGGCAACAGCTTGGGGAAGGCCCTTTCCTGTTTCAGCATGACAACACCACAGAGAAATGGTTTGTTGAGATCGGTGTGGAAGAACTTGACTGGCCTGCACAGAGCCCTGACCTCAACCCCATCAAACACATTTGGGATGAATTGGAACGCCGACTGAGAGCCAGGCCTAATCGACCAACATCAGTACTCGACCTCACTAATGCTCGTGGTTGAATAGAAGCAAGTCCCCATAGAAATGTTCCAACATCTAGTGGAAAGTCTTCCAAGAGGAGGCTGTTATAGCAGCAAAGGGGGGACCAACTCCATATTAATGCCCATGATTTTGGAATGAGATGTTCGACGAGCAGGTGTCCACATACTTTTGTTCATGTAGTGTATGTATAGGGGTAAGGCGACTAGGCATCAGGACTATGCTCAGAGAATGGATTACAACAACTTGTTAACATTCCAACTAGACAGAATGCCATCCTTGACTTTGTCATTACTAACCTAGAGGACTTTTATAGTACCCCTACAACAATGTCATCTTGGGTCTCTGATCTTAATATTGTAGTTATCACACCCAAGTCTCATTCTGTCACCAACACAACCAGGAAACAAGTAATTCAACCAATGAAAGAGCATCAGAGCATGTGGTCAGAGGCAGGGTAAAAACAGGGAGCGGCTATGGGCTCCATTTTCTCTCCTGACTCTGCATGTCTATTTGTGGGTTATCTGGAAGACAAGTTCATTCGGCACAATAACCCTTTCTCCCAACATATACTTATATGGAAAATATATATTGATGATGTTTGGATGGGTCCCCTCAATGTGTTTGGTGATTTTCTTGCTTACCTTTATGCTATGGTTCAACATATCAAGTTCACAGCCGAGATTAGTCATCGTGAGATATCCTTCCTTGATACCCTTGTGCGCCTTGACTCAGGGTTCTTGTCCACTATTTTGTATACAAAGCCCACAGACAAGAACGGTATCCTACATGCCTCTAGTACGCATCCCACATTTCTGAAGAAGGGATTACCGTACACACAACTTCTGAGACTGAAGCGCATTTGTACTGGTAAAACAGACTTTGAAAATGAGACTATGAAAATGTAGACAGTTTGAGGTCCACTCATACCCTAAAGAATGGCTTGATGATGCTCTCAGTAGAGTACGTACCATTGATGAGACCTGAGATACTGAGATGAGATACTTTTATCCCTAGTCCAGAAGGGATAAAAGTAAAAAAAACACTCATGTGTCTGTACCTCTACATATTCTCATTTGAGTGATGACATCAAGGGAGTGATTTAAGAAACATTGGAACGTGCTCATGGCTGATCCTGCTTGCCAAAATACTTTTCACACTACAGGACCAGGAATGTCAGGGACTTTATTGTTCAGGCTGACACTCATGTCCCCCGAAAAGAAATGACGGAAGACTGGACGAGCTGACTGGCTTCTACCCCTGCCGTATTTGTGCAGCATGTAGGGATTCCTGTAAAGAATTGAGCGTATTCAGCAGCTCTGCCACTGGTAAACAATACACTGTTTGTCACATGCAGCTCTTCTAACGTCATATACAGTGAGGGAAAAAAGTATTTGATCCCCTGCTGATTTTGTACGTTTGCCCACTGACAAAGAAATGATCAGTCTATAATTTTAATGTTAGGTTTATTTGAACCGTGAGAGACAGAATAACAACAAAATAATCCAGAAAAACGCATGTCAAAAATGTTATAAAATCATTTGCATTTTAATGAGGGACATACTCTTAAAGGGAGTGCTCCTAATCTCAGCTTGTTACCTGTATAAAAGACACCTGTCCACAGAAATCAATCAATCAGATTCCAAACTCTCCACCATAGCCAAGACCAAAGAGCTCTCCAAGGATGTCAGGGACAAGGTTGTAGACCTACAAAAGGCTGGCATGGACTACAAGACCATCGCCAAGCAGCTTGGTGAGAAGGTGACAACAGTTGGTGCGATTATTCGCAAATGGAAGAAACACAAAAGGACTGTCAATCTCCCTCGGCCTGGGGCTCCATGCAAGATCTCACCTCGTGGAGTTGCAATGATCATGAGAACGGTGAGGAATCAGCCCAGAACTACACGGGAGGATCTTGTCAATGATCTCAAGGCAGCTGGGACTATAGTCTCCAAGAAAACAATTCGTAACACACTACTCCGTGAAGGACTGAAATCCTGCAGCGCCCGCTAGGTCCCCCTACTCTAGAAAGCACATATACAGGCCCGTCTGAAGTTTGCCAATGAACATCTGAATGATTCAGAGGAGAACTGGGTGAAAGTGTTGTGGTCAGATGAGACCAAAATCGTGCTCTTTGGCATCAACTCAACTCGCCGTGTTTGGAGGAGGAGGAATGCTGCCTATGACCCCAAGAACACCATCCCCACCGTCAAACATGGATGTGGAAACATTATGCTTTGGGGGGGTTTCTGCTAAGGGGACAGGACAACTTCACCGCATCAAAGGGACGATGGACGGGGCCATGTACCGTCAAATCTTGGGTGAGAACCTCCTTCCCTCAGCCAGGGCATTGAAAATGGGTCGTGGATGGGTATTCCAGCATGACAATGACCCAAAACACACGGCCAAGGCAACGAAGGAGTTGCTCAAGAAGAAGCACATTAAGGTCCTGGAGTGGCCTAGCCAGTCTCCAGACCTTAATCCCACTGAAAATCTGTGGAGGGAGCTGAAGGTTAGAGTTGCCAAACATCAGCCTCGAAACCTTAATGACTTGGAGAAGATCTGCAAAGAGGATGTGTGCAAACCTGGTGGCCAACTACAAGAAACGTCTGAACTCTGTGATTGCCAACAAGGGTTTTGCCACCAAGTACTAAGTCATGTTTTTCAGAGGGGTCAAATACTTATTTCCCTCATTAAAATGCAAATCAATTTATAACATTTTTGACATGCGTTTTTCAGGATTTTTGTTGTTGTTATTCTGTCTCTCACTGTTCAAATAAACCTACCATTAAAACTATAGACTGATCATGTCTTTGTCAGTGGGCAAACGTACAAAATCAGCAGGGGATCAAATACTTTTTTCCCTCACTGTACCTTATCTCTTGTCCATGCAATAAGCAATATGTGGGCAAAACCAGTAGACAGATAAGAACACGTATTATAGAACAAGAGTGCTGGAAGGAGAAATTACCCCAAATCCCCTATTGCACGTCATTTCTCAGAGGCCGGTCACCCCATCTCCTCCATGTTCATCTGTGCTATACAGCAAATAAAACGTTCACGTAGGGGTGGTAATCTTGAACTTAGTCTTCTCCAGACAAAATGCAGGTGGATGTTCTATTTAAAAACTCCCACTCATCAGGCACAAATGAAGAATTGTTATTGAAGGCTTTTCTGTAACTGGTATATTGCCTCTTATTTGTGTAGCATTTATTTGGGCTGCAATTTCCGAGGCTGGTAACTCTAACTTATCCTCTGCAGCAGAGGTAACTCTGGGTCTTCCATTCCTGTGGTGGTACTCATGAGAGCCAGTTTCATCATATCGCTTGATGGTTTCTGCGACCCTTAAACCTTCCCCCCGAAGACCTTCTAACAGTTTACAACTGCTTTGTCCGTCTAGTGCTCCGCTCCAGTATGACGCCCAGGTCTCACAGCCTACCAACACAACCAACTTGAGAAGGTGCAACGACACGCAACCAAAATAATCAAGGGCCCCACCTACACCTCCTACAACTCTGCATGCAATGTCCTGGGCTTGCAGTCCCGCTGCACCCACTTCTGCAGATCCTTTGCCCAGAAGCTTACAAAATCCCAGGATTACAACAAATGGCTGCCTCAGACAAGAGGTCATGTCAGATCTACCCGATCCAGTCACAAACTGAACCTTCCCCCTACTCGGACTGACACATACTACAACGGCCCTATGCCGTACTTTGTAAGACTGCTTAATGCTGCTTAGCTGCAATATTGTATCCTACATCTCATATCTTTTATTTTATTTACTTATGTAGGCCTATGTACGCTACAATTCAGCTTTTAGCTGCAAATGTGTACAATTCAATATAAACCTTAAATATAAATATAGTACAAAACCATTAGTCCAGTGAGAAAAACATCTGCCAGTAGGCCTATACATACATCATGCAAAGACACACTGTGTCCTGATGGCTGGTCCTAAACCCCTTCTAGTGGAAAGTTATTTCCTGAAGCTGCATCTCCATAAGAAATCCCAAATACCCTTTTGAGTGTTTGAGCTGTTGCATAGCACTGGAGACTTTTCGGTCTCTTTGCCAGCTAGCCTGACCTGCTCACCTTTAAAGGCAGGATACATGGGCGCCATGTTGCTGGTGAGTAATGACTCAGCCTCTGTTCCATTGGCACCCAGATCTGCATATAGAAACATTCACTTTAAATCTCTAACTTAAATAAATGCACACACTTTAAAAACGTCAATTCATTTTAATGATCAACTGGTCTTTAAACATTTTATGAGATATTCCTGATTGAGCATAAGCAGCTGCTGCGCAGCTTGCTACGCATGTACACTAATGTGGTATAGGCATTTAACAAAGGGTGTGGGGAAGGTGATAGGAAAACGTCCTTATGTACTTACTGGGTGGATGCAGCAGGCCGTAGGACAGGGCAGGGTTATCCCTGTATCGGACACAGTTCTGACTGGAGAGCGGTTCCACACGGACGTCTGTACGGACACACCCCTCTGCTACTGGACTCAGCGGCCGGACATTGTTCTGATAGGAGAGACGGGGAGAGAGAGAGAGACATAGAAAGAGGTTGTGTTAGAGCGACTATTTCTGCTTAATGATTCTAGTTCTTGAGATCACGTACAAGTTCTGTGGACTTGGTTTATTTCGTCACTGTGTGATTGAGTCCATATACACTGAGTGTGCAAAACATTAAGAACACCTTCCTAATATTGAGTTGCGAGCAGGTGTTCTTAAAACCTTTAAAAGTACTAAGATAACATATTGAATTGTTTTAAGATGGTCATACCATGGACCATTTAGCTATTTGATTTGTAATTTTAGGATCCCTTTAAGTATCAAAACAAAAATATGTAAAAATGATTTTATAAAATATTGAATTTGGCCTTTACTACTATAGCCCATAGAAACGCATTTAATACAGTCAAAATAAATCATAAGGAATAAGGTTTTGAAGTGTCTGTCCTATATCTAGGAGATAAGAAAATTCCGGAAATATACAGTACGAGTCAAAAGTTGACACCTACTCATTCAAGGGTTCTTCTTTATTTTCACTATTTTCTACATTGTAGCATAATAGTGAAGACATCAAAACTATGAAATAACACATATGGAATCATGTAGTAACCAAAAAATTATAAACAAATCAAAATATATTTTATATTTGAGATTCTTCAAATAGACACCCTTTGCCTTGATGACAGTGCACACTCAATGGACTTAAGGATTCATGTTTTATATACTCAGTCTATAAGGATAGTGCTTTTCTGCTTACTTCCTGCTTAGTTAAAATAAACCATACATCATGTAGTTGTTTCCTTCCTTTTACTAGCTTTTAGACAGAAAGTAAATGGAATAAAAGGAGGATGTTTGCGAAAGCCTGGGATAGAGAAATATATACTATAAAGAGACATGTACGGTACAGAGAAAACGTCCTCTCTCCATAAAACTCATCTCTCTTAGTTCTGATTTACGGTGAGGTTCTCACCACATAACGAGTAACACAAGAGGCTGTGAAAGCCAGCACGAGTGGAGAAGATCTACAGCCAGCTAGCAGGGCCTGGGCCTGTGCGGCAGCTCAGCTCTCAGGACTTCATACCAGCGCTTCATACATAGCTTTACAACCTCTTTCATGTCCTAGCCAAAACACTAACCAGAGAAGCACTAACCAGAGAGCAGCAAATACAGCCAATTCATCTCCCACACGACACACTATCAATCTTTAGACATAAAAGAGAGTGTAATGGTTCAGAGGTGGTTCAGAACTACGTTCGCTGGATGAGAAACATTTGCTAAGATTCTGAAGACTTGCATTAGCTCCCCGGAGCTAATGCCTTGGGTTTAGCTCAGCTGGCTACCACATACCCTGGTATGAACCCCGGTCGCTCCCACAAGCAGAAAAAGGCTCACCAGTGGGTTAATTGTATAGGCAACCCATAAGGGCATGAGAGTATCTTTGCTGTAACCGTTGATGTAGTCGGCGTGGTGAAGGACGCAGTAGTCTGCATTCTCCTGGAGAACTCGAGGGATTCCATATGGTAGGTGAAGAGCCTTGGCTCCGGAATCTGAGGGAGGGGAGGGCTTGATTAAAAATGAAATCAATGAGAAAATACATTCATGATTTCGCTATTAAAAATAGACATCAGTGTGTACTCACTGGAATTAGCCTTGATAAGTTGCCTGTTCATAGTCTTCTCCTGAAACAAGCATTTTCAGCACGTTAGTGGGTCTCTCCTTTGTTTCAATTAGTCAACTTCTGTCCTTCTAATGAGTGCTGCTGGGTTATCAATCATCCAAAGTGAGGATAATGACAGGCTAGACCCTCTGTCTACCCCTCCCATCCCAGCCCTGCTCCATTAGGGAGGGTGTGAGAGTTTGATCCCCCCCTGACAGTACTCCCTGGTCGTACCGCTGCTTTGGTGTGGCCGCTGCAGCTGCAGCCCAGACCATCAGAGGGGGCGGGGCCACTCGCCTCACAGTTGGAGTCAGAGGAGAGCTCAGCGGGGTACACGGGCAGGTGGGGAGGGTTCTTCAGGAGGTGGTTCAGACTCCCGTGGGTCCCGTTGTTAGGAGCAGGGGGAACGTCCAACAAATCTGACAGGCAGAGAGAGAAGGAGTGAAAGAGGGAGGAATAAAGAGATTACTCTTGAAAATGTATTTTCTCTAACTGACTATTTAGTTAGCTACCTGTACATAACAGCTGTGTGTCTTGCAAAGGGCAGGTGCAGTGTTGGGACTATGGACTTTGCACTTGCACCTGCTGAACTGGTATATCCTCTTTGAAACTTATCACAATGTTGAGAAATATAGAAGTGGACTCAGTTCTCTATAAAAGTGGTTGAAATTACATCATAATGAGTGTAAAACCAGATTGGCTGCTGGAATTGTTTAACTTTAGAGAAGTAATCCTCTCTTAGCCTGGTTACCAGTATGTTTAGATATTGTCCCACTCCTTGCCAATTCCATCAGGAGTTGGCAAGACAGCAGAAACAGACTGGCACCCAGGCTAATCTTTTCTAGTTGTACAACAGGACATTGCCCCCTGCCCCCATGTTAAACATTGATTAACAGGCTTACCACACAGGAGGTTGTAGACTTCAATGTTTTCAAAAGGTGCAACGTTAGTCTTGTATTTCAGCCCTGGTCCATAACCGATGAAAATTGTCTGAAAAATACATACAAATGAATTTCTGTACACATGCTTTTCATAACAGTGGAGTAAACATATATGGAGAGAACAAAAGCTGAACCAAAGAACCACAATTTAAGCTCTTGAATGATCGGGCTACATTTTTATTTACGCCTAAATCATTTTTCATGAGACAGCCATAAACAATAACTGGTAATGTTGCATAGTTTTAGAAAGGTCTGGAACTCACCTTTCTTGATTTGCTGAGGACACAAGATCAAGTACATAGTCCAAATATTATGAAAAACCATATGTTTTTTTTTCTTATTCAACAAAAGTGGGGCAATAGGGCTTGAAATGCCTTAAATTGTTTCTAAATATAGTAACAATCAAATGATAAACGAGTAACTAAGATTTCACATTACTTATAACTTTAAAATAAATATTATCATACTTAGTACAAGATTGGAACTATTTAATGTAACTGAGCAGCGCAGAGACACCATTCAAATGTCTGCAGACTCGTTACAACTTCAGCTTTATGCACAAAGTGATTTCGTCTGTCTGTGACCATGACAAAGTGGTCTTCTTTCAATTGTATGAAATGATTTCGTATTTTTTAATGTTGAGCGCTCTAAATCAGTCGGAGAATATGACAGCAAGATGAAACCACAACGGCTGGACTCGCTAGACTGTCACCGTTCATATGCCGTCTCCCAGGCTGGGCTCACTCAGAGGATAATCGATTATTAGTCGGGTTGGCCAGATAATGTGACACATCACTCCCTATGCAAATGTTGGGTCTGAAACCTGACACTTGAGGTCAGCTTCGCTGAGAGAGTGGAAGGGTAGAGCAGAAAGATGGGGCTTTCTGGCATTACACAGTTGAAGTCGGAAGTTTACATACTCTTAGGTTGGAGTCATTAAACCTCGCTTTTCAACCACTCCACAAATGTCTTGTTAACAAACTATAGTTTTGGCAAGTTGGTTAGGACATCTACTTTTTGCATGACAAGTAATTTTTCCAACAATTGTTTACAGACAGATTATTTCACTTAGAATTCACTAGGCTAATTGACATCATTTGAGTCAATTGGAGGTGTACCTGTGGATGTATTTCAAGGCCTACCTTCAAACTCGGTGCCTCTTTGCTTGACATCATGGGAAAATCAAAAGAAATCAGCCAAGACCTCAGCAAAACAATTGTAGACCTCCATAAGTCTGGATCATCCTTGGGAGCAATTTCCAAACACCTGAAGGTACCACGTTCATCTGTACAAACAATAGTACGCAAGTATAAACACCATGGGACCACGCAGCCGTCATACAGCTCAGGAAGGAGACGCGTTCTGTCTCCTAGAGATGAACGTACTTTGGTGCGAAAAGTGCAAATCAATCCTAGAACAACAGCAAATGACTTTGTGAAGATGCTGGAGGAAACAGGTACAAAAGTATCGATATCCACAGTAAAACGAGTCCTATAATCGACATAACCTGAAAGGCCGCTCATCAAGGAAGAAGCCACTGCTCCAAAACCGCCATAAAAAAGCCAGACTACGGTTTGCAACTGCACATGGGGACAAAGATTGTACTTTTTGGAGAAATGTCCTCTGGTCTGATGAAACAAAAATAGAACTGTTTGGCCATAATGACCATCGTTATGTTTGGAGGAAAAAGGGGGAAGCTTGGCAAGCCGAAGAACACCATCCCAACCGTGAAGCACGGGGGTGGCAGCATCATGCTGTGGGGGTGCTCTGCTGCAGGAGGTACTGGTGCACTTAATAGATGGCATCATGAGGAAGGACAATTACGTGGATATATTGAAGCAACATCTCAAGACATCAGTCAGGAGGTTAAAGCTTGGTCGCAAATGGGTCTTCCAAATGGACAAGGACCCCAAGCATACTTCCAAAGTTGTGGCAAATTGGCTTAAGGACAACAAAGTCAAGGTATTGGAGAGGCCATCACAAAGCCCTGACCTCAATCCTATAGAAAATGTGTGGGCAGAACTGAAAAAGCGTGTGCGAGCAAGGAGGCCTACAAACCTGACTCAGTTACACCAGCTCTGTCAGGAGGAATGGGCCAAAATTCACCCAACTTATTGTGGGAAGCTTGTGGAAGGCTACTCGAAACGTTTGACCCAAGTTAAACAATTTAAAGGCAATGGTACCAAATACTAATTGAGTGTATGTCAACTTCTGACCCACTGGGAATGTGAAATAACGCTTAAATAAATCTCTCTCTACTATTATTCTGACATTTCACATTCTTAAAATAAAGTGGTGATCCTAACTGACCTAAGACTAGGAATTTTTACTAGGATTAAATGTCAAGAATTGTGAAAAATGTATTTGGCTAAGGTGTATGTAAACTTCCAACTTCAACTGTAAGGCACAGGACCCTATGGCGTTCACAGAGCACTTTGTACACCAAAATGTCAGTAGGAATCATTCCAGAACTGCTCAAAGTCCCCATTTAGTTAGAATTTCCCTCCACATACGAAGGAGTCAAACCCACAAATAGCCCTTCTGTAAACATCAGAATATGATGAATAGCTAAGTACTTGAATTACCTTCCAAAAGGTGGGTTGAAAAGCAACCAACCAACTTAAATAATCATAAGATGAACCTACACGTGGGCGTCTACTAAGTAAAATAATTGCTAGCCATGTCTATGTCTGCTTTGAACTATTTTTGGGTCTGCAGCCAGACCCAGAGAATATATATTTTTAGCACAGACTTTCATTTGACTAATTCACCTGTTTTTTAAGAGGAGTGCGTAAAGTCGCAGGGATAATTATACAGACAACACATTCCAGGCGTGACCACGTCCGGACAGATACACAGACCTATCATAAACATATAGACTAACACAGAGATGCCAGGGAGAAATCTAGTAAACATAGCCATGGAAGAACAACACAACCCAAAAGGGAACAAAGCATACTATTAAACGTGATGGTATTGGCTTATTTTGGGAAAGATTTTGTAAGGCCGGAAACATACACAGACCAATCAAAAAAACTAGGGTAAAATAGAGTAAAACCTATTAAACATAGTAAAAATGTCCATGGCACAACAACACAACCCGAATGGGAGGACATTGTACTGTTATAGGTGATGGTATTTAATTGGGCTTATTTTGGGAGAGACTTGCTAGTAGAAGGAGAAATCGAAACATGGGGAAATAACACAACCCGAATGGAAGGACAGTGAACTGGTACAGGCCTGGTACAGGCCTAAACCTGCTGGTCTTTCAGCAGGTTTACTTTGGGAGAGACTTGCTAAGGCTCAGTCTGGGGGGAGCCAGACTAGATGGTCTGATCTCTTCATAAAGCTTCTATGTTCCCTCTGGGTTCAGCCACAATAGCTTGATTTAACCTAAAGTATGTCTGACATTATTCAACCAAATGAGGCTCCTCTGTAGTAGCCTGGTCCCAGATCTGTTTGGGACATTTGGCAGGACAATGACCATAGGAGTTGACAAGACAGCACAAACATATCTGGGACCAGGCTAGGCTACCTCTGTAGTACTTTCATCATAGAAACTTGTCACGTCCAAAAAAAAACAGAGTGGATCGTGTTGTGTAGCTAAGCTCCATGTGCTTCCTTAAAGTTGAATGTAACTTCAGCTTAGTAGCATAGCTATTTTATAGTTAGAGACAGTATGTTATGATGGGTTTCCCTGGGTGTGTACATAGCTAAGTATCCATACTGTAATGCAGTGTTTCTTAACCCTGGTCCTGGGGTGCAGATTTCTGTTTTTGCCATAGCACTACACAGCTGATTCAAATGAGTAACTAATCAGCAAGCTTTGATGATTTAAACCAGGTGTGTATACTAAGGCAAAAAGAAAAATGCAGAATGTTCAATTCACTGCTGTAATGTCACACTGTATCAGCTGACGTACATACATCCCTCTCCCCCTCCCCTGACCTGCATGTTTTTGAAGACGTTATCCGAGCCGTGGAATCCACCACTGCAGTACTTGATTTCCTTAGGCTGGCTGTGGAGGAAGAGATGAAAAACCATTATTCCATCCATAGAAAGGACATCACACAGCCTCAATTCATCGGGGCATGCTCTCTACAAGGTGTCGAAAGCATTCCACAGGGATGCTGGCCCATGTTGACTCCAATGCTTCCCACAGTTGTGTCAAGTTGGCTGGATGTCCTTTGGGTGGTGGACCATTCTTGATATACACGGGAAACTGTTGAGCGTGAAAAACCCAGCAGCGCTGCAGTTCTTGACACACTCAAATCGGTGGGCCTGGCACCTACTACAATACCCCGTTCAAAGGCACATAAATATGTTGTCTTGCCCGTTCACCCTCTGAATGGCACACATACACAATCCATGTCTCAAGTGTCTCAAGGCTTAACAATTCTTCTTTAACCTGTCTCCTCCCCTTCATCTACACTGATTGAAGTGGATTTAACAAGTGACATCAATAAGGGATCATAGCTTTCACCTGGATTCACCTGGATAGTCTGTCATGGTAAGAGCAGGTGTTCTGTCCACTCAGTGTACATCTGCCATACAGTGTGTATACAACACTCAAATTGAGGGATTATCAATTGGACAGCTGTATAAACCAACCAAACTAAAATGGCCGCTCACATCCTCAGCTGTGGCAACCAGATCAACAGGGAACAGCTTTCAGTTCCCATTTCAGACATCCCTAAAAACGGACCAAACGTTGGCAAAAAAACAAAATCAGAGGTGTCCATGGCAACCACTTTGCCCACATCTAATTTATGGTATGTTAATAAGCAATCACTTACAATTTGTGGCAGCTGTTGAAAATGTCAGGGGTCAAATTAGGGCTAGTGACATTGTTTAGAAGTCGTCTTGTCGACTATTGTCTCTTTGCAACAGACAGTTGAACCTAACAAGAGTGAAATATAAAGTGGGATGACATTTTGCAAGTACCTGTACTTTCAAAGTGCATGTAGGGACAACGTTTAAAGTGAAGGACACAAGTAGGTCTAACCAGTGCTGATAACATTTTGCTTGGAACTCATGACTAGAAATGGAGTGAGCCGTGATGAGTAGGCCAACTCAAGTAACTTATAGATATTTGAAAGGGTACTTATTTACTTAGGTTATTCCACAACAGTTACTTTGGCTTAATGCCAGAGTAAAGCTAAAAGTGCAGCTAAGGTTCTGTGATCACTCTAAATGTTCTGTTAAAGAAAACATTACACTAATATGTAATATGTTTCATATAGAGTATGATATAATAAAAAAAATATATAGCTGGGTTGTGACATACAGTGCAGCCTGCCAACCAGGCTTCATGTAGAGATGGGCCCTCTCGATGCGCACATTGTTAGCGAAGTGCATCCGTTTGGGGAGGTGCTCTTTCAGGTAGGGCCTCATGGGCTGGTCAGGGATCCTGCACTTCAAAATGAACAGCAAGAGGAGAGGGGAGAGTCAATGAAGCAGCAGAGGGAGGGGCCTGTCTGACATGAGGTCATTTTCAATTCATCTTATGAACACAGAAATCAAATACTTCACATACCGATAGATTCTTCACCAGGCCTTCATAGTCGACTGGGGGAATGAAAACAGACACGGTTGTTAACCCAACGGTCAATACCCATCCCAAATCACTCTTTACGCCTTCCCCCTTGGCCACAACGTTCTTATGTTTGCAGATCTGGAAGGTCTGCATAGGTACAGTAAACGCAGTGTAGTGGCGAAGCTTCTACCATAATTATTGCTTACACCTTACATATTTGCAAACATCAAATCAAATTTTATTGGTCGCATACACATATTTAGCAGATGTTATTGCGGGTGTGGTGACTATTTATCAGTCTGATGGCCTTGAGATAGAAGCTATTTTTCAGTCTCTCGGTCCCAGCTTTGATGCACCTTTACTGACCTCGCCTTCTGGATGGTAGCGGGATGAACAGCTCATGGATCGGGTGGCTGAGGTCCTTGTTGATCTTCTTGACCTTCCAGTGACACCGGGTGCTGTAGATGTCCTAGAGGGCAGGCAGTGTGCCCCTGGCGATGCGTTGGGCAGACCGCACCACCCTCTGGAGAGCCCTGCGGTTGCGGACGGTGCAATTGCCGTACCAGGCAGTGATACAGCCCAACAGGATGCTCTCAATGGTGCATCTGTACAAGTTTGTGAGGGTCTTATGGGCCAAGCCAAATTTCTTTAGCCTCCTGAGGATGAAGAGGCACTGTTGCGCCTTCACCACACTGTCTGTGTGGGTGGACCATTTCAGATTGTCAGTGATGTGTACGCCGAGGAACCTGAAGCTTTTAACCTTCTCCACTGCGGCCCCGTTGATGTGGATGGGGGCATGCTCCCTCTTCTGAAGTCCACGAACGTTGAGGGATAAGTTATTTTCCTGGCACCACTCAATCAGGGCCCTCACCTCCACCCTGTAGGCTGTCTCATTGTTATTGGTAATCAGGCCTACCACAGTAGTGTCGCCTGCAAACTTCATGATTGAGTTGCAGACGTGCGTGGCCACGCAGTCATGGGTGAACAGGGAGTACAGGAGGGGGCTGAGTATGCACCCTTGTGGGGTCCCTGTGTCGAGGATCAGCGTAGTGGAGGTGTTGTTTCCTACCTTCACCACCTGGGGTTGGCCCGTCAGGAAGTCCAGGACCCAGTTGCACAGGGCAGGGTTCAGACCCAGGGTCCCAAGCTTAATGATGAGCTTGGAGGGTACTCTGAGCTGTAGTCAATGAACAGCATTCTTACATAGGTATTCCTCTTGTCCAGATGGGAGAGGGCAGTGTGCAGAGCGATGGAGTTGTCCATGGATCTATTGGGGCGGTATTCAAATTGCAGTGGGTCTAGGGTGTTGGGTATGGTGGAGGTGATATGATCCTTAACTAGCCTCTCAAAGCACTTCATGACAGAAGTGAGTGCTACGGGGCAATAGTAATTTAGTTCAGTTAACTTCTCTTTCTCGGGTACAGGAACAATGGTGGACATCTTGAAGCAAGTGGGGACAACAGTTTTTCCAATACCGTTACAACTATTTCTTTGAAGTTTTTCAATACATTTTAATATTTGTAGCAATTTTTTAAGTAAATACCTGCAGTCAACTTGTGCAATGCGTTAGGAGATAAAGTAGATCACGTTCATATTTTACCCGTCACATTATGAAGCGTACTTAGTTCCCCAGCACAATTGAGCCAGTCACGTGTTTGTTTGTAAATAGCACAACAGGCGAAAGCGGGAGCAGGTGAGTCCAGCTGTGTATTGACAGGGGTCGCGTTTTATATTGAAAGTCAAGTGTTTTATTGCTTTAATACAGATATCAGGGACGTGCAACTATAGTTTTCCTTCACAGAAAATACATTAGTGTAACACATTCGGCATTAAGTAGCTTCATTTTCATCAGATAACAACAGAAGTGCAACGCTATTTGGCTGGCAGCCACAGAAGTAAATGAGCTTACAATGAAAAAGCAAAAAACTATGCATGGCCATCATATTTCTAATGTTTAAGCAAAACATTAGGAAATGTAGCTGGCTACATTATTTCTATGATAAAGTAAATCTTGCATTTTACCGGATAAAAATTGTCTGGCTACACCGAGAAAGTACCGGAGAAAAGTAGCTCCACATCAGTCAGAGCACAGTCTGCTGATAGAATGCCTGTTTGTGAATTCTCATCTGAGTTTAAAGTGCAACTGAAGCACAAAGTCTGATGCTGAGCAGAAATTACAATAAGAAGCATTTTAGATCGGTGTTTACAAAATGCAGCAAGATATTTCTTATGCATTTGATATTTTTTCCCCTGCATGAAAAACGCAGAATTATGCGTTACGCGACCCCTAGTTTAACTTGCTATCTAAGTAAGTGGCTGCTTTAATAAGGTGACGGGGCATGATATTGTTTAGCTTTCTGCAGTATTTGAGAAGGCAAAGCCCTTTGGATGAGTTATTTGTACAGCTGCCACTGTCATCTTGATTTCCTTGCATGTTTTCTCCTCTCCGTTCTCAGCCCATCTGCTCCTCCCAACTCTTCTCAGAGCAGAGCAGGCGGGCCCACTGCCCTAGCAGACTTCACACAAACACAGCGTGTAGACATGCTGCCAGACAGCCGGTACTGTATGTGCCAAAACTTTGTTCATTTGCACAATGTCTCTTCTTCACATTCACAGATAAATGTCCAAACTCACCAAAAATAACTTTCGGTAGCTCCTACCTATATATATGTATAACTTTATGAGCTGGATTGCTTGTCTTTGCAATTAGTTTATCTTTGTTTGCACTTGTTAGTATATTTAGCTAGCAGCCTCCATAGAAATTCGCTATTACTTTGCCTAATTTTGTTAGCATTTAGGTAATAGACGCCCAATGGACTTTTTTGCTTTCTTTGGCACCCCCTTGTGTACTAAACCGGCAATATCGTATATCCCGGGGTGAGAGAAGGATGGTATGACAATCTGGATACCGCCCAACCCTAATAGGGATGCCTTCTGGGCCGGCAGCCTTGCGAGGGTTAACACGCTTAACTGTCTTACTCACGTCGGCCACAGAGAACGAGAGCTCACAGTCCACGGGAGCGGTGGTGGCCTGCATCGGCGGCACTGTGTTTCCTCGAAACGGGCGAAGAAGGTGTTTAGCTTGTCCGGGATTAAGACGTCGGTGTCCCCGACGTGGCTGGTTATCCCTTTATAATCAGTGATTGTCTGGAGTCCCTGCCACATACGTCTTGTGTCTGAGACGTTGAATTGCGACTTTGTCTCTATACTGACGTTTTGCCTATTTGATTGCCTTACAGAGGGCATACCTGGACTGTTTGTACTCTACCATATTCCCAGTCACCTTGCCGTGGTTAAAGGCAATGGTTCGCGCTTTCAGTTTTGCGCGAATGCTACCATCTATCCACGGTTTTTGGTTTGGATAGGTTTTAATCATCACAGTGGGAACAACATCCCCCATACACCTCCTGATGAACTCAGTCACCGTGTCAGTATATACGTCAATTATGTTCTCAGAGGCAACCCGGAACATATACCAGTCCACGTGATCAAAACAATCATGAAGCATGGATTCCAAATTGGTCAGACCAGCGTTGAAAAGTCCTTAACACGGGTACTTCCTGTTCGAGTTTCTGCCTATAGGAAGGGAAGAGCAGGATTGAGACGTGATCTGATTTGCTGAAGGGAGGGCGGGGAAGAGTAGCAATGGTCTAGAGTTTTTGAAGGCGATGTGTTGATAAAACTTCGGTAGCATTTTCCTCAGGTTTTGCTTTATTAAAGTCCCCAGCTACAATAAATGTGGCCTCAGGATATGCAGTTTCCAGTTTGCACAAAGTCCAGTGTAGGTCCTTGAGAGTTGTCGTGGTATCAGCTTGAGGGGGAATATACACGGCTGTGACGATGACCGAGGAGAATTCCCTCAGGAAGTAATGAGGTCGGCATTTGATTGTGAGGTATTCTAGGACAGGTGAACAAAAATACTTGAGTTCCTGTACATTACCACAATCACACCATGAGTAGTTAATCATGAAACATATATCTCCGCCTTTCTTTTTCCCGGAGAGTTCTTTATTCCTGTCTGCGCGATGTATTGAGAACAAAGCTGGCTGTATGGACGGGGACAGTATATCCGGAGAGGGCCATGATTCCGTGAAACAGAGTATGTTACAAACCCTGATGTCTCTCTGGAAGGAGATCCTCAACCTGAGCTCATCTACTTTATTGTCCAGGGACTGAACATTAGCGCGTAATATACTCGGAAGCGGTGGGTGGTATGCATGTCTCCTGAGTCGAACTAAGAGTCCACTCCGAATACCTCGTCTCTGCCGGCTGTGGTCTCTGGGATAAGTGGAATTGCCTTGGGGGGGGGGGGCACTAATAAGGTGAGAAATAACACAAAAAACAATATGTACTGCAAAGTTGCTTAGGAGCCATAAACAGTTCGACCATGTCTATCAGTGCCATATTGTTATATATTTTTAAAGGGTAAGGGCCAAGGGGAAATGAGCAAATTGGGACCAGCTGGAACACTGGATGACTTTGCAATGTAACGGCAGGAAGAGGGAGGAAGACAGTTGGAAGTGACACGTTATCATCAACAGAAACTCACAGGAGTAGAAGTCTTCAGGGACTTTCTTGGGTCGGATGCGTGCAGCAGGGCCTTGGACAACAGTGAAGTCGTCAACGTTGTCCTGATACGAGTTCACGAATGCAGCCTTTTTGCAGGATGCTTCCTCCATTCCTGCAATTACAGTACATGCACACACACACACACACACACACACACACACACACACAAACAAACACACAGGTCAACATTAAAGAAACAGTCGCCGTTGATTGTATTGTTGTTCCTGGCAACTGGGCAGTCGGAGCAATAAGAGAAGCAAGCAGAGAGAAATGGAGGATAAGAAACGACAGTATAGGACTTCAAACAGCACCATAATTACGCGGTCTTATCTGTACCAGACTTCAGAGAGAGAAATAGAGCTGCAACAGAGTAAGTTCATATACAGTACCAGTCAAAAGTTTGGACCCATCTACTCATTCAAGGGTTTTTCTTTATTTTTACTATTTTCTACATTGTAGAATAATAGTGAAGACATCAAAACTATGAAATAACACATATGGAATCATGTAGTAAACAAAAGTGTTAAACAAATCAAAATATATTTAATATTTGAGATTCTTCAAATAGCCACCCTTTGCCTTGATGACAGCTTTGCACACGCTTGGCATTCTCTCAACCAGCTTCACCTGGAATGCTTTTCCAACAGTCTTGAAGGAGTTCCCACATATGCTGAGCACTTGATGGCTGCTTTTCCTTCATTATGCCGTCCGACTCATCCCAAACATTTACATAATTTAGCAGACGGTCTTATCCAGAGCGACTTACAAATTGGTGTGTTCAACTTATGATAGCCAGTGGGACAACAACCTTTTTTTAATGGGGGGTGGGGGAAGAAGGATTACTGTTATACTATTCCAGGTATTCCTTAAAGAGGTAGGGTTTCAAGTGTCTCCGGAAGATGGTCAGTGACTCCACTGTCCTGGCGTCGTGGGGGATCTTGTTCCATCATTGGGGTGCCAGAGCAGCGAATAGCTTTGACTGGGCTGAGCGGGAACTGTGCTTCCGTAGAGGTAGGGGAGCTAGCAGGGGAGCTAGCAGGCCAGAGGTGGATGAACGTAGTGCCCACGTTTGGTTGTAGGGTCTGATCAGAGCCTGAAGGTAAGGAGGTGCCGTTCCCCTCACAGCTCTGTAGGCAAGCACCATGGTCTTGTAGTAGATGCGAGCCTAAACTGGAAGCCAGTGGAGTGTGCGGAGGAGCGGGGTGACATGAGAGAACTTGGGAAGGTTGAACACCAGACGGGCTGCAGCGTTCTGGATAAGTTGAAGGGGTTTAATGGCACAGGCAGGGAGCCCAGCCAACAGCGAGTTGCAGTAATCCAGATGGGAGATGACAAGTGCCTGGATTAGGACCTGTGCCGCTTCCTGTGTAAGGTAGGGTCGTACTCTGCGAATGTTGTAGAGCATGAACCTGCAGGATCGGGTCACCGCTTTGATGTTAGCGGAGAATGACAGGGTGTTGTCCAGGGTCACGCCAAGGTTCTTTGCACTCTGGGAGGAGGACACAATGGAGTTGTCAACCGTGATGGCGAGATCATGGAGCGGGCAGTCCTTCCCCAGGAGGAAGAGCAGCTCCGTCTTGCCGAGGTTCAGTTTGAGGTGTTGATCCGACATCCACACTGATATGTCTGCCAGACATGCAGAGATGCGATTTGCCACCTGGTTATCAGAAGGGGGAAAGGAGAAAATTAATTGTGTAGGAGAAAATTAATTAGGGTTGAGGAAGGGGGATTGTGGAGGCCAGGTCAACTGATGCAGCACTCCATCACTCTCCTTCTTGGTAAAATAGCCCTTACACAGCCTGGAGGTGTGTTGGGTAATTGTCCTGTTGAAAAACAAATTATAGTCCAACTAAGCCCAAACAAGATGGAATGGCATATTGCTGCAGAATGCTGTGGTAGCCATGCTGGTTAAGTGTGCCTTGAATTCTAAATACATCACAGACAGTGTCACCAGCAAAGCTCCTCCTCCGTCATTTACGGTGGGAACTACACATGCGGAGATCATCCGTTCACCCACACCGCGTCTCACAAAGACACGGCGGTTGGAACCAAAAATCTCCAATTTGGACTACAGACCAAAGGACACATTTCCACCAGTCTAATGTCATTGCTCGTGTTTCTTGGCCCAAGCAGGTCTCTTCTTATTGGTGTCCTTTAGTAGTGGTTTCTTTGCAGCAATTCGACCATGAAGGCCTGATTCACACAGTCCCCTCTGAACAGTTGATGTTGAGATGTGTCTGTTACTTGAACTCCGTGAAGCATTTATCTGGGCTACAATCTGAGGCTGGTAACTAATGAACTTATCCTCTGCAGCAGAGGTAATTCTGGGTCTTCCATTCCTGTGGCGGTCCTCATGAGAGCCAGTTTCATCATAGCGCTTGATGGTTTTTGCGACTGCACTTGAAGAAACTTTCAAAGTTCTTGAAATGTTCCATATTGACTGACCTTCATGTCTTAAAGTAATGATGGACTGTCGTTTCTCTTTGCTTATTTGAGCTGTTCTTGCCATAATATGGACTTGATATTTTACCAAATAGGGTTATCTTCTGTATACCCCCCCTACCTTGTCACAACACAACACAACTGATTGGCTCAAACGCATTAAGAAGAAAATAAATTCCACGAATTAACTTTTAAGATTGAAATGCAGTCCAGGTGACTACCTCATGAAGCTGGTTGAGAGAATGCCAAGAGTATGCAAAGCTGTCATCAAGGCAAAGGGTGGCTATTTGAAGAATCTCTAATATAAAATATATTTGGATTTGTTTAACACTTTTTTGGTTACTATATGATTCCATATGTGTTATTGCATAGTTTTGATGTCTTCACTATTATACTACAATGTAAAAAATTGTAAAAAGAAAGAAAGAAAAACCCTTGAATGAGTAGGTGTGTCCAAACTTTTGACTGGTAGTGTACAGTATGTCAGCATACTATTTACTTGAAATTGTTAACACATGATTCCATCCTTACTTTCATAATCAATCAATTTCAAAAGCAGATGTGAAAACAACAACCGATAACCTTTTCATGACTAAAAATAAACCAAAGATCAATGCATCTGTGATAAAGCCTAAATAAAAGGATATTCCCATACACTGTATATCACCAACGAACCAACAAACCCAACATCAAAATTACAACCCTGCAACGTGGAGCTTATTACAAGGCCAGTTGAGCAGCCAACGGCCTGCGTCACCGCATTCGTTTAAATTTCCCTAATCCTTTACATGCATAATTAGAAGACACGTCACATGCTATACAGATGTTGCGAGCATCTTCTTCACAGACCTCTCCTCTGTGAACCTCCCTGGCTCCCTCACGCTCAGCTCACAGTCATTGTGTTTCAGCGTTCACACTGACCTTGTTTTTCCAACAGTTTCTGCTCTGGCATGTGATTTCCCCGCAACAGGTGCTAGGTCTCAGCAAAGGCTGAGTATGTATGGCTGACAGTAAACATCCAAACGCCCCCACAATGGAGGGCCCTAGAGCAGAGGCTATAGCTTAGAGGACAATATGGTAATATGGAAGAGTTCTACAAAAAATATTGTGGGTCTTGTGGTAATATGCAAATATTGGCTATGATGCTGAGTGCTATTTGTCATTTGTGCTACTCGTACAATAAAAGCTGTTGCGTGTAAATGAAATAACTCAATATAAGCAAGTTTGATAGTAGATTTCTAGATTATAAGGACAGTTTTGTAGCCATTATACAAAAAAATAAAGGGAACACTAAAATAACACATCCTAGATCTGAATGAATGAAATAATCTTATTAAATACTTTTTTCTTTACATAGTTGAATGTGCTGACAACAAAATCACACAAAAATTATCAATGGAAATCAAATGTATCAACCCATGGAGGTCTGGATTTGGAGTCACCCTCAAAATTAAAGTGGAAAACCACACTACAGGCTGATCCAACTTTGATGTAATGTCCTTAAAACAAGTCAAAATGAGGCTCAGTAGTGTGTGTGGCCTCCATGTGCCTGTATGACCTCCCTACAACACCTGGGCATGCTCCTGATGAGGTGGCGGATGGTCTCCTGAGGGATCTCCTCCCAGACCTGGACTAAAGCATCCGCCAACTCCTGGACAGTCTGTGGTGCAACGTGGCGTTGGTGGATGGAGCGAGACATGATGTCCCAGATGTGCTCAATTGGATTCAGGTCTGGGGAACGGGCGGGCCAGTCCATAGCATCAATGCCTTCCTCTTGCAGGAACTGCTGACACACTCCAGCCACATGAGGTCTAGCATTGTCTTGCATTAGGAGGAACCCAGGGCCAACCGCACCAGCATATGGTCTCACAAGGGGTCTGAGGATCTCATCTCGATACCTAATGGCAGTCAGGCTACCTCTGGCGAGCACATGGAGGGCTGTGCGGCCCCCCAAAGAAATGCCACCCCACACCATGACTGACCCACCGCCAAACCGGTCATGCTGGAGGATGTTGCAGGCAGCAGAATGTTCTCCACGGCGTCTCCAGACTCTGTCACGTCTGTCACATGTGCTCAGTGTTAACCTGCTTTCATCTGTGAAGAACACAGGGCGCCATTGGCGAATTTGCCAATCTTGGTGTTCTCTGGCAAATGCCAAACACCCTGCACGGTGTTGGGCTGTAAGCACAACCCCTACCTGTGGACGTCGGGCCCTCATGGAGTCTGTTTCTGACCGTTTGAGCAGACACATGCACATTTGTGGCCAGCTGGAGGTCATTTTGCAGGGCTCTGGCAGTGCTCCTCCTGCTCCTCCTTGCACAAAGGTGGAGGTAGCAGTCCTGCTGCTGGGTTATTGCCCTCCTACAGCCTCCTACACGTCTCCTGATGTAATGGCCTGTCTCCTGGTAGCGCCTCCATGCTCTGGACACTACACTGACAGACACAGCAAACCTTCTTACCACAGCTCGCATTGATGTGCCATCCTGGATGAGCTGCACTACCTGAGCCACTTGTGTGGGTTGTAGACTCCATCTCATGCTACCACTAGAGTGAAAGCACCGCCAGCATTCAAAAGTGACCAAAACATCAGCCAGGAAGCATAGGAACTGAGAAGTGGTCTGTGGTCACCACTTGCAAAACCAGTCCTTTATTGGGGGTGTCTTGCTAATTGCCTATAATTTCCACCTGTTGTCTATTCCATTTGCACAACAGCATGTGAAATGTATTGTCAATCAGTGTTGCTTCCAAAGTGGACAGTTTGATTTCACAGAAGTGTGATTGACTTGGAGTTACATTGTGTTGTTTAAGTGTTCCCTTTATTTTTTTGAGCAGTGTATAATAGCTAAGGGATGTTTGCCATCTTTCTCCTGGCAGATACTGACTCGCGATATGAGCTCATTGTTTTTATGATTCACTACTATTAAGGGATGGAGGAAAATCTTTACTTCATCTTTTCTTCCCTTTTTTCCCCTAGACCTCTTTCATTTTGAGTAGTAGCAGATGCTCACAATTGCATCACTTAACATTTACAGCAGAGCCATAAAATGAAGTACTTCAACACTCTTTCTCATCTGTCGAACGAACATTAAATGGGTCCATTTCCTCCGCCTCCCTTGCTTCCACATTGTTTTCTAGTGCTCATCTCTGAGAAACATTCTCTCCTTTACTGTACTTTTCCTTCCCGAGGCCCTTTGCTCCACAAGGAATAAGTCAATTAACTTTCCCGTCCTACAGTTTCATCTGAATGCTGTGTATAAATTAAGGATGCTGATTCTACTGTTGATCGCAGAGACCACAGACTACTACAGTACTGTCTGTGTACAGTATGATCTGACTGTGTGTTGTGGCAACACTGCTCACCGTGGTCAGACAGAAGCACCAGGTTGACACAGTGGTGAAGGTTCTTCTGTTTCAGGCCGTCCATTAGAAATCCCAACAACTTGTCCACGTTCAGCAGGGCCTCAATCACCTGCAAACACAGTCATTCAATTCAATTCAAATAACGTTTATTTCCTCCCACATTAAAAAATACTATAGTATACTATGGTCTAAATACTGTAGTATTACTATATTTATATACTACAGTATTTACTGTAGTGTTTTTACAGACATGACTAGTATATTGTAGTAACACCTGCAGACTAGGGTTAGCTAAAATGGCAAAACTACCAGACTACGCCAGTTACTGTTTAATGAGGAGAACACCTCAACCAGAACATAAGACACACAGGTTCGTGACAGGCCACCTATTGAGCTGGGTCAACACTTCTGTGCAATGCAACGGACCAGACAACACCTTAGCAAAAATATATATTTGTTTATTACAATTGTAACATCTAAAACGTTATATAGGCCCATTAAAGGGAAAAAGTACAGAGGCAGATATAAAGAACAAGCAAAGTTTATTAAAGCTTAGAGGATTAGGTTGACTTGTTTGAGACATAACACACATTAACAAAAACCGTGACAAACAATACAGTGCTTTGATGGTAGAAAAAAACATTTAACCACTGCATTTACATAAACAATAGATATTTTTGAAATACAAATGACTTGACTTACAGACAGTCACCTTGTTATTTTTCAGTTTTTAAAACAACTAAATTGACAGAAGTCGGTTCAATTATTTGAATGTCTTTTTTTCTTTTTCTTTTCTGTGAGTTCAATGCGCACATTGCGCAGTTTCTCTAGAGATTAATCAGATCAAACTCGAACTGTGCAACGTAGTAGGGAGTTGTAGTTTCCAACCTGCCAATATTCGACATAGTTTCCTTGTCCGGTCTGTGTGTTTCTTTTATGCCTGTTACGGTGCCTTCAGAAAGTATTCATACCCCTTGACTTATTCTACATTTTGTTGGGTTACAGCCTGAATTCAAAATCGATTAAATATATTCTCACCCATCTACACACAATACCCCATAACGACAAAGTGAAAATATGTTTTTAGACTATTTTACAAATTTTTTGAAAATGAAATACAGAAATCTCATTTACATACTGTAAGTATTCGTCTGTGGTCTGATGAGACAATTTTACTCTTTGGCCTGAATGCAAAGCACTATGTCAGGAGAAAACCATGCACAGCTCACCCGTCTAACACCATCCCTACCGTGATGCATGGCTGTGGCAGCATCATGCTATGGGGATGCTTTTCAGGGGCAGGGACTGGGAGACTGGTAAGGATAGAGGGAACAATGAATAGAGCCAAATACAGGCAAATTCTTGCAAATGACCTTAGACTGGGGCGAAGATTTAAGTTCCAACAGGACAATGACCTCAAGCATACAGCTTCAGAACAAGAATATTTAAGTCCTTGAGTGGACCAGCCAGAGCCCAGACTTGAATCCCATTGAAAATCAGTGGAAAGACTTGAAGATTGCCGTTCACTGCCGCTCCCCATCTAACTTAACAGAGCTTGAGAAAATCTGCAAGGAAGAATGGGAGAAAATCCCCAAAACCAGATGTGCAAAGCTGATACAGACATATCCAAGACAACTCAAAGCTGTAATCGCCACCAAAGGTGCTAGTACCTGAATTTCATTTTTAATACATTTGCAAACATTTCTAAAAACATGTTCTCACTTTGTCATTATGGGGTTGTATGTGTAGATGGGTGAGAAATCAATTTAATCAATTTTGAATTCAGGCTGTAACAAAATGTGGAATAAGTCAAGAGATATGAATACTTTCTGAAGGCATTAGGTTAGTGTGGGGCAGACACCAAGAGGGAGAAAAGTATGCCTTTTTACTTTGAATAACTACTAAAATTGTGATTTTGTCAGACAGCATAGGCGGCAGCTCTTAGAATTAAAACAAATGTAATACACAACTGAATTTTTTTATTAAAGGTAAAGTAATCGGAATAAATGGTTAGTAAGTGATAAGCAGTAATGGCCAGTCACTACCATGATGGGACTTTTGTTATATTCTGTGGTTACAGCATTCAATCCACAATGCATAGTGCATTTAATGTAACTTCTTTTTATTGAAAAAACGAAAACTGTGATTTTTTCTGTATTTTTATAAATCGAACTGAAACGACCTCAAAAACCACTAATCACTAAGCACTAGGAAACACTGACAAAAACTTTGGTTCCTAGCCTGTCACACAATATTCTTCAGTTACCTGATTGAGCTTTAGGTGAGGGTTATGGTGATGCCCATCTACTGAGGGACTCCAGTTAAAAAGACCAGGCAGAGGCAGAGATGCAGTTCAGTTTAATAATCTTTACATATTCACGTAATGGAGATGATACATGGAAGGAAATGATTGACAGTTGTTAACATGAGACATGAGTCTTGAATTGAGACTGTTGGCTTTGTAAGGAGTATGGTTTTTCTAAAAGGAGACAAAAAGGTGCAAATAATAACAGGCAATAACAGCAATTAACATACATAAATCGGCTGTTTAAATTGTATTTTCCCACTAATTTATTTCATTTTGGAACATTTGTGCTTATAGCCTCTGCCGTGTGCGCATTGCTGCGCTTATAAATGTAAAATGTTATAATGTGAAGAAATAGCCAAATAGTTTATCAAATTTTTTTGCTAAACGTTCTGATCCGTTGCATCAGCCTTATTGCTTTTTAAAATGTTTTTTGATGCGAGTGGTTGTATTAATTTGGGACCTACCGCATCCAACAACTGTCCCAGACTATGTTTGGAATATTTCTTCCTCGCACATAAGGAAACGTTAACCAATAGAATAGGTCAACTTTTGTACTATGGTGGATAGTAGATTTACATAGGCTAGTACTTTTGCTGTTCGTTAGGCCTACTCATCGTTGGCTGACGAAAAGTATATTTGGACAGGTCTTCTAACATCTTCAATATGTGCCTCGGAAATCGATAAGAAGGACGCGCGCAGTTGCTAGCAACCAAAGCTTTGGTCAGTGTTTCCCTGGGCACCCGTATTAGGGGAGGACATGCAGGAAATGTATAAAAGCACCCCATGGTCATGTTCAGGTGAGAGCTTTGTACCTGGAAAGGTCCTTTGTGTGTATAGGGTGTACGGCGTCATTGCTGTTGGTATATTTCTGTGAGTAATCATTATGTGACCTAAGAAATGTCTGGGTTGTGGTCGATAGTTCTGAATGCCATGTGTTGAATTTGACCATTAATGAGTTTATTCATGTGTGACAATATTCAAGATGTTCATCATGCAAAGCTACTGCAATACTGTCCATCTGTTTTCAGTTGGTTTGTTTGGCGAGGCTTTGTTGGTTTGAGGTCCAGACAGTTTATTGGCTGCGCCCTCCAATAAAAGGAAACTGTCGTTAAGCAAACAAATTTGTATTTGAAAAATATCTATTGTTTATGTAAATGCAGCGGTTAACTGTTCTTTATTTTCTACCATCAGAATTACAGTAGTGTTTGTCACTGTTTTTGGGCATCATCAGCTGAATCTCTGAAAGCACTTTTTGTATTTCAGAAAGCTACACTAATTAATATATATATATATATATATATATATATACATACACACACACATACTATCGGTTAAACGTTTTAGAACACCTACTCATTCAAGAGATTTTCATTGTAGAATAATAGTGAAGACATCAAAACTATGAAATAACACATATGGAATCATTTAGTAAACAAAAAGCTGTTAAACAAATCAAAATATTTTTGATATATTTGAGATTCTTCAAATAGCCATCCTTTCCCTTGATGACAGCTTTGCACCTTCTCTTGGCATTCTCTCAACCAGCTTCACCTGGAATGCTGTTCCAACAGTCCTGAAGGAGTTCCCACATTGCTGAGCACTTGTTGGCTGCTTTTCCTTCACTTTGCGGTCCAACTCATCCCAAACCATCTCAATTGGGTTGAGGTCGGGGGATTGTGGAGGCCAGGTCATCCGATGCAGCACTCCATCACTCTCCCTCTTGGTCAAATAGTCCTTACACAGCCTGGAGGTGTGTTGGGTCATTGTCCTGTTGAAAAACAAATGACAGTCCCACTCAGCCCAAACCAGATGGGATGGCGGATCGCCGCAGAGTGCTGTGGTAGCCATGCTGGTTAAGTGTGCCTTGAATTCTAAATAAATGACAGACAGTGTCACCAGCAAAGCACCTCCACACCATAACACCTCCTCCTCCATGCTTTACGGTGGGAAATACACATGCGGAGATCATCCGTTCACCCACACTGCGTCTCACAAAGACAAAGGTGGTTGGAAACAAAATTCTCCAATTTGGACTCCAGACCAAAGGACACATTTCCACCGGTCTAATGTCCATTGCACGTGTTTCTTGGTCCAAGTAAGTCTTCTTCTTATTGGTGTCCTTTAGTAGTGGTTTCTTTGCAGCAATTCGACCATGAAGGCCTGATTCACACAGTCTCCTCTGAACAGTTGATGTTGAGATGTGTCTGTTACTTGAACTCTGTGCAGCATTTATTTTGGCTGCAATTTCTGAGGCTGGTAACTCTAATGAACTTATCCTCTGCAGCAGAGGTAACTTTGGGTCTTCCATTCCTGTGGTAGTCCTCATGAGAGCCAGTTCCATCATAGCACTTGATGGTTTTTGCAACTGCACTTGAAGAAACTTTCAAAGTTCTTGAAATGTTCCATATTGACTGACCTTCATGTCTTAAAGTAATGATGGACTGTCGTTTCTCTTTGCTTATTTGAGCTGTTCTTGCCATAATATGGACCTGGTCTTTTACCAAATAGGGTTATCTTCTGTATACCCCCCCCCCCCCCCCCCCCCCCCCCCCCCCCCCCCCCCCCCCCCCCCCCCCCCCCCCCCCCCCCAACCCCCCCACCATGTCACAACACAACTGATTTGCTTCAAACGCATCAAGTTGGAAAGAAATTCCACAAATTTACTTTTAAGAAGGCACACCTGGTAAATGAAATGCATTCCAGGTGACTACATCATGAAGCTGGTTGAGAGAATGCCATAGTGTGTGCAAAGCTGT